GTAGTGGATATTCTTACACCGCCATTACACGGTAAAATTTTCCACCATCCTATTATAATATGCGTGTTTTCAATGCAAAATTGAATAGGCTTTTGTAAGGCTAAGTAAGTGTTTTACCATCTTCAACGGCATTATCAGGTGGGATAGTAATCAAATACTGGCTTAAAATAGTTTTAAAAAAAAACGCGAATATCGCCGTACGATAATAACTATGCTGCAGCTATATTAATAGTATAGTTGTAGCACGAATGGGTCCGCTCGACCGGCGAAGGACCACGCTCTCACAGAATACCAGCGCAAAATGGCAGCTTAATGCTGCTATGTTTCGTACGGTGAGTGTAGAGAACCTGAAACCCATTTTACTAGAAAAGAGGCATTCTGTCTTAGTACTCACGACTGACAACGCATCTGCATTTTAATTCTCAAACGAAGATACATAGATGTAGATGTCTATGGGCCACAGCAATGACTTACCATTAGGTGGACTGTGTGCTCATTTGCCACCCTTATTCTATTAAAAAAACATATAGTGGAGGCATAAAATAATCCACTACTTCATAGTATATATATTTTCAACCTGGTAGAGCCATGCTGCAGCTATATTATGGTTGTAGCACGAATGGGTCTTCTCGACCGGGGTACGACCACGCTCTCACAGAATACTAGCGTTAAATAGCTGCTTAATGCTGCTGTGTTTCGTATGGTGAGTGTAGAGAACTGGAGACCCTTTTTACTGGAAATAAGGTATTCCATCTTGGTCCTAAGGGGTGACAACGCATCTGCATTTTGATTCTTAATTGAGGATAAATGTACATGTCTATAGGCCTCAGAATGCACTTGCCATCAGGTGGACTGTGTCGTTTGTCACCCATATTCCATTAAAAATGTCGTATGAGGGGCGACAACAGACAAAGAATCAAGAGATAGGCAGCAACATCTTCCTGATAAGTAATAAAAATTCATCAAACTGATTATTTCTTCTATTTACGCGAACACTACACATTGAATAAAACTACTTTTACGGATTTTATCGCGTTTAATTAACTTATTTTATATTCCCGACATTTCGGTTGCTTTCCAGCAACCATGGTCAGACAGTCCCCCGTGACCATGTTTGCTGGAAAGCAACTGAAACAAATAAAAAAACATACAGTCGAATTGAGTACCTCCTCCTTTTTGAAGTCGGTTAAGAAGGTAATACCGCTTTGGCTTATTTGAGCACCTATTGACTTTAAGCATTTACACACCTTTATTAGAACGGGATGTTCGGGTTAAGTCATTACCATTCGACATATTGCATCATGTGTCATGACTATCAAAATTGCACCGGACTATGCTATTTAAAACATCGCAACTAGCGGAAGCTTGTAATGTAAAATTTGAAATTCTCCGCGCGCGCAAACGTCTCCTCGTAAACCGCCTGCCTAATTGCTAATAAAATATATAAATATTGCAGTTTCGGACACAAAGCTCCCTTACCATCATAACGTTGTTATTACCAGCGAAATTTAGTACCATTCATGCAGATCACGCAATAAGTAAAATAGTTCTGACATTTTTCTTACAAATTACTTTGAATTATAGTTTTCATAAAAAATGTTTTAACAAATTCTGGTTTTTAAAGTATTATTATTATTGCGTAAGTGTATTATTTATTTATTTAAATTTTGTGAACTTTAAAACAGTATTTGATCAAAGGCAGGGCAGTGATGAAACTACAAAGGAGGTTACTAAGAACATAATATACCTATATAAAGAAAACATATACACACATAGATATAAAAACATATACGGGTGGGATTCAGAATTGTTTAGGAATTTGGGGGAGTAAGGTGACTTTTTTGGTAAAGGTTTGGTCTACGATTATAACAATACCTCTCCCATGAAAAGGTAATGCATCGTTTTCGAGAAAATAAATAAAAACGATTATAACCTAAAATGTGTAAATGGAAAAACGTATGCAATATTACAGAATTTTTTGTAAATGCGACATGGTCATAATACCACTTTTATACTACTACTATCCTAACAAAATGATGACGGAGCTTATCAGTTTGAAGCAATTTTATGTCTGAAAAGAACGCCCGTTTCTTTATTTGTATTAAAAGAGTGACTAACGAGCACAAAATCAACCTGATAATAAGCGAACACGTGGTCCAATATGCCTCGATCATGGGTAAAAAATTAATATTCAGATGCGATATCAACCCCAAGGACTAACATCGAATGCCTAGTTACCAGTAAAAAGGGTCTCCGATTCTCGACACTTACCACTTTCGAATTACTAGTCAAAACACAGCAATATGCCGCTTCTTTTTTTTACGCTGGTATTCTTTAAAACTATTTCCAGCCTTAATACAGTTGACGCGTGGGATCTCCGACGTCAAATGTTGTTATCATAATATTCATACGTTTTAAAGCCACGCTGCAATTATATAATGGTTGTAGCACGAATGTGTCGGCTCTACCGGTAAGGACCGCGGTCTCTCAGAATACCAGCATAAAATAGCAGCTTAATGCTACTGTGTTTCGTACGGTGAGTACAGACAACCAAAAACCCTTTTTACTGGAAACGAGGCATTCCATCTTAGTCCTTAGAGGTGACAACCAATCTGCATTTTGATTCTTAATCGAGGATAAATGTAGATGTTATTGGCCACAGCATCTTCTTACAATCAGGTGGACTGTGTGCTCATTTGTAACTCCTATTCTATAAAAAATGTTTAAAATATTAAACAACATGTGCTTATGAGATTCGTGACAAATTATAACGGATAGCGCGCAGCGAACCCGTAGTAATGGTCATCGAGGACGGTTATAATTGCAGTGAAAATATCCAAGATGGCCGACGCCGGTTTCGGCTTCTGTGACATATTCGTCACGATAGTTTTGTGTCATTCACACATGTGAAGCGGCGAACTCGAACCACGTGTATGATGAATAATCCGTTACTAAGACAAAACCTTGATTCGAATTTCATAATAATTTCTCTTTTGAGTGGCTTCAACACCATAGGTTTAAAGAAAAGGTACTGTTATAGTCTACGCACCTTTGATACCTCTTGTACGTGGTAGAGCCACGGTACAGCTATATTATTGCTGTAGCATGAATACGTGGGCTCGACCGGGGAAGGGCCACGCTCTCACAGAATACCAGCGTAAAATAGCAGCATAATGCTACTGTGTTTAGTACGGTGAGTGTAGAGAACTGGAGACCCGTTTTACTGGAAAGGAGGCATCCAGGCATCCATCGTAATCCTCAGTGGTGACAACACATCTGCATTTTGATTCTTAATCGAAGATAAATGTAGATGTCTATAGGCCACAGCATCCATTTACCATCAGGTGGGCTGTGTGCTCATTACGCTCGTTGCTCGTAACGAGATGAGAGATGTTGTCACCCTTATCCTATAAAAAAAGTTTTTCTTCTTCTTTATCAGCCCAGTCAAAGTCCACTATTGGATATGGTTCTCTCCCAATTTTTGATCACAATTTAATCTATCTAGATAAAGAGAAAGGTAAAGCCCTAGTGTGAGATGTTACTTATAATAAAGCTGCAGCCTGGCAGCTCTACCACGTCAAAAACCGTCACACGTCACGTCACCTCACGTTACTTGTTGAATATTGTTTTCTGCCGACTTCCAAAAATGAGGCGGTACTCAATTCGACTGTATGATTTTTTATGTGTGTTGCCTCATAACTTTTTACTGAATGAACCGATTTCGATGGTTCTTTTTTTATATGAAAGCTGATACTTCTCGTGTGGTCCCATATGAATTTGATTAAGGTCAAACCAATAGTTTTTGAGTTATTCTTAATAACTTATATTGAAGTCGGCTGTACAAAAAAAAACATACAGTCGAATTGAGTACCGTCTCCTTTTTGGAAGTCTGCAGAAAATGTTTAATTTTAAATTATTAATTTTAATTTAGAACTGCATGAAATAATTCTTCCTTCTCCCTTCGACCATCAAATAACCAGATGTTCGACCAGTATCATACCTCTATATTATCGAAATACCATATAGGTACCCGAACCAAACAATTTTCTTCGATTAATGAGTAAGGTAATGGATTTGTATAATTTGTCAACATTCTGTCTTAACATCCAATTACAATGTAAATGACTTCCTAGCAAGAGTGAATAGGCTTTTCTTAAGCTAAGTCAGCGTGCTTCACCATCTTCAGCTACATCATCACTAATTAATAGAATCAGGTGTTACTTTGCGCCAAAAACAATTATATAAAAGTTAGTAAAAATAACTTTACGTACATCCGCTCGATAAAATAAAATAATGTGTAATTAATAGAATCAGGCGTTACTTTGCGAAAATCTATTTTATAAAAGCTTTTAAAAAAAATTTACTTCGCAAATATCCGCGTTATAAAATAAAATTATGTGTCCTACCTAGTATGAAGAGCACCTCCCGCCCTCCCTCAATTGTCACCACTAATCCCAGCACCGCCACTCCCAACACTACTACACTAGGCAAGACACACCACCGACGACAATACGACACGTGTTTCGCATCTACACGAGACATCCTCAGGTGATATAGACTCTACGGTGGCTAACCCCGTAGAGTCTATATCACCTGATATGATTAGCGGTTTTTTTTAAAAGCTTTTAAAATAATGTGTCTTACCTAGTTTGAAGAGCACGTCCTGCCCTCCTTTAATAGCGTGCACTATCACCGTCACCACTAATCCCAGCACAACTACTCCCAACACCACTATACTAGGAAAGCTAACAAGTATCAGATGGGATCGTTATCAAACATTGGCTTATAATGTTTTAAAAGCAATGTATATCATAAACATATAATACAACATTTAAAAAAAATTATATAATCACCTGTTTTAATTTTTTTTTTTCAGATAAAACGTGCCAGTATGCCGAAAACACAGTGTTACATATTCAACAAGCGCTGGACAAAAGAGTGACGTAAGATAAATGTGTTTACAATGATAAAAATCGCAACAATAATTAGGATGTGAAATCATGTTGGAATGCTTGCCCCGCGCGAGCACAGTGGTACGCGCTTCAAGTTCTGGACAAAGTGTTGGGGAGAGCACGCGAGTGTTTTTTGTACTCCTGCCTCTTTTCGTGCTTCTGTGTGTACGGTGAGTAAATTTAAGTTAGATTTAACTTCCACTTTAAAAAAAAGCATTGATTTTATAGCAACGTTGCATTGTGATTTTATACTCGCATCTGCATTTTCTACTGATTAAAATGACATTAAAATTTATTTTCTTCGAACGATTGATTTTTGGATCACAACGACAGCGCTACCTTCCTATCCAAATGTGAATCAAAACCATCTCGGGACTCATTTAAACACACACAAAAAATTCGCCAAAATAGTTGCAGCCATTTTTGATTTTTAGCGAGACTAACTACAATTATTGATATACATATATATTATATAGATGAAAGAAAAAGTTCCACAATAGTTTAAAATATAATTAAAATGAATTTTATGTACTGGTCACGCAGACATTGTTCTGCCCTTTTGGTTAGGTCGCGGGATAAGTTTCAGAAATATTTTTTCAAGTATTTAAAATTTCAAAATATAGGTTTATGATTTCCTGGGCACAGTCCTCCATTCCTTATTATAATATTCCAAAAGGTTGGGATTTGCGAAGCTACTTCAATGCGAAAATAAAAAAATACAGAATGTACGTGTATTTATTTTTCTTAGATATACAGGTTTTCTCACGACTTTTACCTTCAACACCGAGGACGTGGTAAATCAGTACTTACAATTGTGACTAATAACGCTAGTAGCACCGGCGAAAACCATAATATTTTTTTGTAGAACAAGATTTGATTAAGAATCAAAATGCACTTGTTAAAAAATACTCACCATACGAAATACAGCAGTATTAAGCTGCTACTTCACGATGCTATTTTGTGAGAGCGTGGCCCTTCCCCCGTTGCGTCAACCCATTCGTGTCACAACCATAATATAGCCACAGCGTGGCTCTACCACGGATAAAATCAATGAACGAAATGAAGAATTGTGTCAAAATTTTATTTGACGTTATTCAAAAATCACCTAATATTTATTTTTTATCGTAAATAATTAAAAATTTTGTACAACCGACTTCAATATAAATTATTAAGAATAACTCAAAAACTATTGGTCAGACCTTGATCTAATTTATATGGAACCACATGTGAAGCACCAGCTTCCAAATAAAAAAGGAATCATCAAAATCGGTTCACTCAAAAAAAAGTTATGTTGTGTTACCTACACATAAAAAACATACAGTCGAATTAAGTATCTCCTCCTGTTAGAAGTCGATAGAAAAGATAAAATCGCATACTCTAAAATGCTGGACTATTGTTAGATTGACTCCATCTAGCTTTCCTGTGATAGATAGAGTTCACATGTCCTTATCTATACAAATAAATTAAATTGAAGTGTCTGATTGTTATATCAAAATAACAGCTTTTTACTAAATGCGTATGAAAGTATATACGGTACTAATAACAAAAATACAATTTTTAAAGTTTTTGTCTGTCTGTCTGTCTGTCCGTCTGTTTGTCTGTTTGTTCCGGCTAATCTCCGAAACGGCTGGACCTATTGTAACGAGATTTTCACTGGCAAATATCTGATGTCACAAGGAGTAACTTAGGCTACTTTTATTTTAGAAAAAGAATTAGGGTTCCTCGCAATAAAATTAAAACCCCAAATAACACGCGGGCAAAGTCGCGGGGAACAGCTAATATTAAATATATTCCTAGCATCCAGGCCGCGTGTAAGCGTGTAGTGGCGGTGTAAGATTATCCACTACGCCATATCGTCCCATAGGTATCGCAAGAGGTGGCATATAGAAACTGAAAACGGAGATGGGCAGCAGCATTTTTCTCATACCAACTTAAAATTATAAAAATCTGCGGTTGCCAGTCCGCCTGCCAATATATAGCAAATATTGCAAAATCCATGAGGCAATCTAAAGGGGACACTTAAGTTAAGCGATAGACTTTTAAGGCTGTAAAGTTGGATGAAGCGTTTCGCGATGTTTTATTTTATAAGCTTTGTAATAAAAAATAAAAGACCGTCAATACGAGCTTAAACGGTGGACCTCCCGCCATTATCGCATCTTGTATTATCCAATTTAGCTGTTAGTCTAAACACATAAACATTAACATGAACGAATTTGCATATTTTATCTCTTAAAATTAAACACAGGTTTCCTTAATAATCTGTAATCACTTGACAATACATCCTCCATAACAAAATGACTACCAATTTCAATTTAAAATTGATATAACCTCTAAAATTTAATAACTAATTTGTCCCCCGGAATAGCAGGACACTGGCGTCTAAACCGCAACCTTATACGTCAAATTATTAAATCCATACATCATGCCTTATTATGGCATCGACATGAGATCGACGACGGTAAAAAATTTCGAAAAAGGATAACGCAACAAAAGAAAATACCAGAATAATATTATATACCCTATAATTACGTACAATAAATCTGCAAGGCCGAGGCGAAACTGACGGACCAATTTTCAATACACACAACAAATAAAAAAGACATGGGATCAAATCTTTATGAGCATGAAAACCTATTAAGTCGGAATCTGTGACATGAATAGAAATGAACTTGTTCGCGTACTATTTATAAAACGAGCTCAACGTAAACGTGGGCGTCCGGAAGTTTCGCTTACTTAGACTTGGTAGACTTCGAGTAGCCCAATTATCCCCTTTTGAAGTTGTAATGGGTGCTTGTTAAAATTATTTGTGTATTTTGCGATCCTATTACAAGTCTTTTAAAAGTAGATCCATATTTTTTTGTGTGAATGTACACAAAAAAGTATTGATAATATGGTACTGGAGGCAATTATTTCACATTTTTTAAGCTTACGTAGATACTGATTGACGAGCTTGTGTATAATGTAATGTTTTTTTTTTTTTTAATATATAAGAGGGGGCAAACGAGCAGCCCCTGATGGTAAGTGACTACCGCCACCCATGAACAATTGCAGTTATAAGTTTTTCGGTAAGCGGCGTTTAGGACGGTTCCCCACGCAATAGAGTGACGACCTGGTGAGTGGTCCAGGAAATCCATAGATGCAGGTAGGTCAGCAGCATGTTTTATAGCATTCTTGTGAGAGTCTTCTGTTCAGCAGTGGACTTGTTATGAGGTTGTAATAATGACGATGATATCATTGACAAATGACGTCGCAAACCTTTCGCTACGATGCAGTGTATTATGCTTGCAGCGCGAAAGGGTTAACTTGATAGGGAAATTACCATGTACGTACAGAATATTAGAGTAAAATAGCATCATTATGTTTGCATTTCGTTTAGTGAATGACGAAAACCTTACAAGACATTCCATTTTAGTCCTCGTGTATGAGGCTCAGAAGGGCTAGAACCCAGAGCCGTAAAGCCAGTTTTAAAAAAAAACTCGTGTATGACAGTTTGTTTGCATTTTGATTCTTAACCGATTACATATTATATTATATTATAGCAGTAGCCATGTTACAGCTTTGTTAGTAGTATAGTTGTAGCACGAATGGTTTGGCTACAGTACCAGTGTAAAATAGCAGCTTAATGCTGCTGTGTTTCGTATAGTGAGTGTCGTAAACCGGACATCCTTGTTACTGGAAACGAAGCAGTCCATCTTAGTCCAATCCAGTCCAGTAATCCATTCCAGGGGTGATCTGCAATTCGATTCTTAATCGAAGATTAATATAGATATGTATGGGCGTTAGCATTAACTTACCACTCTGTGCTGTGACTGTGTGCTCGTTTGTCACCCCTATTTTATAAAAAAAAAACTTTTAATAAAAGCTAATCAATCCGAAACGAGTAATTTCCTCAAAAATGAAAGGGGCAACATCCGACACGTGATTTTTGTTTAAAAAGCGCTCATCGCACAATCTTAATGACCCCTCATCATTTCCTGTCGCAATCTTGAATTCTGAACCCACTATAACTGTTAATCCTTTCAACAGCGTCACTAAAGAATAGTGTGAAATCGGTTTTAAAACATTACTTAAATCAAAGACTTAAATACCTTGATTTAAAGTTGAAATTGAGTTGAACCACCCAAATTTTCTGACAATACATTATTTCCATATCGAACGTCACAGCCCCGCCCCTAGGCTCGTGAGTTTACAAGCGTGTTAAATATCAACCTTACGGTATGCGTTAAGATTCATCAGTTTCCGAACGCTACCCAAACGTAAACATCAATTGATGTCGTAATTTACGACTCGTAAAGCGAAATTGGCGGGAATACAGCTGTCATTGAAATTGGCGGGAATACAGCTGTCATTCAAATATGCGTTGATAACGATCAATTGCGTGTGAGTGAAGGTTTGATAGTCACGACTATAACATTATGTACGGTTATGAAACTTTCGTCCGTTTTATTTTAATACTAGCTACCCGCACCGACTTTACACGGGAGGCCTTAAATATTAAATAACCACGTCAAATGCCTCACCACCTGGGTTACAGAGAAAGGGGTAGTATCTCAGTAAAGTTTAGGGACGATTTGTTCACCCCAGATAAACAGACAATAGCGGTTATTCGACAGATATACATGGTTATTTTTCAGAGTAGCCATATTTTAAGCTTAAGTTCAAATATAAAAATAATGATATACCGTTATTGCAGTTTTTGAAAATACAAGTAAATAAGGCTTCTACTTTTATTTGAAATTATCCCAAATTGAATGTGATTTATGGGCACCGTTTTTTTCTAACGATCGGCCCTTACGAATGTGTGCGTGCGCAGTAAACTCGGTTAAAATAATGTATTAGCACGCATTTTGAATTTAAAAGACAAAATGGACAGAATATTTCAGACTTTTTTTAATTAATTTTTCTTCGCCATTTTCTTATATTACTTATTCTGAACCTTCTCTGCGAATTCGGTTGGTTATTTCAAAATAACCCTGTATATTCAAAGAATAATTTGACTACCGGAGGAATAACTCTATATACTTTGAAATACTAAATACCCTTTGGCGACCAGATAATCGCTTATTCGTTATTTTATGTGAATATTGAAAAGTCGGCCTACACACAATTTTATCCATAGATACATTCACCAAGGGCTTTTTAGGGTTAAAGTTTTAAAATAGACAGACAT